TATTTCTTTGAACATTACAGGCCATTTTTATTTGTCATATTCATAAGAACAATGTGAAATACTCTCTGCTACTATGTCAGCAATTGTGATTTTTTCCCTGTTGCGAAGCTTGTATATGAACAGCTCTACAACTTGCACTAAGTGCTGGTTCCTAAACTTTTGTGTGGGTTGCAGGAACTGATGATGACCTTCCACCACCATATCCGAATAATCCGAATAATAGGAGTATAAGAGGCAGCGGGCGTGCCAGTGGTAATGGCAGAGCTATTGTTCCTGTCAGTGGTAATGGAAGGGCCATTGCTCCTGCCAGCTCATACCCTAGAGCCCAGACCGATATGGAAACACAAATTCAACAGCTTGAGCAAGAAGCGTATTGTGCAGTTCTGCGTGCTTTTAAAGCTCAGTCTGATGCCCTCACATGGGTTGGTACTGCTAGACCTGTCCCTGTTAATTCAGGTGTTTGTGCTGAAATTTATATGTTATTTCTCAAAGCTGACCTTAGATCAACTTTGCCTTTTTTAGGAGAAGGAGGGTCTGATTACTGAACTTAGGAAGGAGCTAAGGGTATCCGACAAAGAACACAGGGAGGTGCTAAACAGGGTCAATGGTGATGATATTATCCGCAGCATAAGGTCGAATATAGATAAATATTTGTGCTATTCACTACAATGTTGATATGTTTTCTGTTCCCAGCACTCTAAATTTCTGCCTTGATTCAAATTAAGGGAATGGAGATCAACAGGAGGCCTTCAGGCAAGCTTACCCAATAATCCTCAGCCTATACATCATGACCCGGCGCCTAGCCCTACCACCTCTGGCCGTAAAAGGCAAAAGACATCTCAATCCGTTCCTCCCCTACCTGTACCGTCTCCTCCTGTTATGCATCCACAGCAGATGGCTACACCAACACAACCTTCATCTTCAGCAGCTAAAAAGGGATTTCTGCCAGGCACTAAAGGCAAAAAGACAAAACCAGTAAGCACATATTCTGATGGCTTGTTCTGTTATGAAGCAATTTTTTTCTCTTCTTTGATGGAATTTCATGTGCTTCCAAGGGCCAGAAGATACCAGGGGGCTCTGCAGTCAAATCTATGCCACCTACAGCAGGTCCCAGCGGAAGGGGACCACATATGAACAGAAACTTTCCTGGTCGCCCTGCTGCTCCTGAACCTTCTCAAGGACAGCATCATCTTAATCCTTTAATTGGCCGTAAAGTCATGTCTCGGTGGCCTGAAGATAATAATTTCTATGAAGCCACTATAACTGATTACAATGCGGAAAAGGTGTGCTTTTAGCTCATTAGGATTATAGTTTTGTTAATCCAAGCCCCAGATTTTCTGAGGGATTCCATTGCAGGACGTTTATGCGCTAGTTTATGACATAAATACAGCTAATGAGACCTGGGAGTGGGTTGATTTTAAAGAGGTACACGATCTTTTTTATGTGGACATTCTGATAATTATTCACATTTTCATGCTTGGTGTTTTCCTTTCTTTCATATTGGACTTACGAAAAAGTAGTTAAGGTACAAGCATGATGAGGAATAAGATTGCGTGGTTAGGCAGGGTTAGCTCTCAAAACAAAATTACCGGGGAACATGGGAGGGAACATCATGATCTTTTGACTCTTGATGTGAACTAAGACAATTTTAGCTGTTGTTACATCGCCAACTTAATAGATCCAAAGTGGTCGGGCCCTTCCCTGGATCCTGCGCAAGCGGGAGCTACATGCACCGGGCTGCCCTTTTTTTTAAATCGCCCACTTGGCCATGTGATGCAGACCCACACATCATGCTTGTGTCAAATGGGCCTGTATTAGTGAACTAAGGTAATGCAACTGATCTGTTGGGATAAGTAACTGGACTATTGACCCTACCGTGTAGCAAAGAGGGACAACTTTATTTTATGGAATTATGGTCATTTGATATCGGTTTTCCCATTGCCACTAGTGTTCTGACCAGGAGTACATTCCAGTCAGTGTTTCACTCCATTTTCTTGCCAAATGTCGGGCGAACATTTTGATAACAGTTTGTGATGTCAACACTTATCCTTGAGAACCGCGTCAAATTTCTAGAGAACATAACCTGGTACCTGATTCAGTCATGAAGATCATATGGTACAGATATAAAGATGGTTAGATTTGAATGTGAAACAAGTGCCATCCGTTTGGCTAATGTCCTCTGGTAGCATTTGCCCGTTATTATTGTATCGTGCACATGTCCCAATGTGTGTGCACCAAACCGCTTGATGACTACTGTCCTCTGAACTTTTCTGTTTGATGGACTTTGCTGACAATTCCTTTGGGCCCTGACTACAGATAAAACCAGAAGACATAATCTGGCAAGGCGAGGACCCAGGATTATATCAAGGAGGTCGTGGTGCTCCAGGTAGCGGGGGTAAGAAGTCAACTAGCCGTGTTATGCCCACACCAGGTGCAGGTAGGGGGAGAGGATTCCAAAAGAATGTGTCGAAGAAAGACTTTCCACGTTCGCAAAATGGCGTTGGGAAGAGAAGTTCTGATGACATTGATATACTTCACACTGAAAGCCTGATAAAAGAGGTTAGTTTGAAGAAAGTTTGCTAGCCTCTCTGATGATGATGTACTAACCTTATGCATCTCCCATAGGTGGAGAGGGTCTTCAGTGTTAGTCATCCTGATCCTTTGGAGGTAGACAAGGCAAAGAAAGCGCTGAAGGTATGCTGGAATATATACTGATATCTATTCGATCAGGAGGCCTTTGGTTTTTGACTAACCAGCAATGCTTGCAGGAGCAAGAACAGTCGTTGATTGATGCGATAGCAAGGCTTGCTGAGGCATCTGATGGCGAAAGTGGTAAATACTAAATCATTGCTTGTTGACAAAATGGGAGGATCTTTCTGATGTTGCAGAAAACCACCCAGACAATTTCCAATTTAGGATGACTACCCTGATCAGGGGAGCAGTTTGAGATGTCATGGCTGTATACCATTTTGCCGTGTACTCACTATCCACTATAATTATACCCAGTTTCCACTTTAGAGAGGTAGGATCCTTGTAACGCAGTGGACAGTTTCTAGAATGCGCCAAATTGTAGATAGTGTTCCTCTCTTACTTGGGAGATATGAGGCCTAGCCTATCTGTCTATCATTTATGCCTAGCGGTTACAAGATTGCAGCGCTCTACACAGCAAACATGAATTTTTATGAGATGAACATGCCTTGTAGCTGTGTAGTAATTGCAATGCTCTTCATGTTTTGGTGGGAACAGATGAGCGCAACCGTGGCCGTAGGATGGGGCCATATGGTGGGCACCCGCATCAAGGAAACTATGCGGATGCCATGGCTGTTGATGGCGACCACATGGTCGGAGGCGCCGCCACATAAACGGATTGCTGGAACATGTATACACAAATTCGATTAGAAGCCCGTCCTGTTGTAAAATCTTATTTGCTAATGTTTATTTAAAACTTAGCCATAGGTTGAAACCATCTGGTTTTGAGAGACGATCAGTTTTTGTTCTCTTCTTTTTTTTGGGGTAGAACTGCTTAACGTGTTGTAAAGCTGCTGCTCTGCGGAGCTATTGTGCTTCTTGTCATTGCACAAGTGATAGTGCAGTGGTGATTGATTAGACCAGGACATTTGACCTCTTCTTTTCGGAACATTGCTAACCTTTTCATTATTCCGGAATCATGTCTTATTCATGTCATTATCTACAATCGTTATGTGAGAGTACACACTAGGCTCTATTTACATGATCATACAGCCTGGTAATGGGTTGACCGAGAGCATGGTTGTGCTATATGTCTAAGTAAGTCTTTATTAGGATGATGATCTGTTTTAACTGATATTTACTCACAGTTCACAAATATAAAATGTTTTGGATATTTCAATGTGGACTACATACGAATGGAATTGAGTGAACAAATACAATAAAAACATGTTTGTATGCATCAGGTTCAAGAAAAAAATAATTATGACATCTTGTATTTGTGAACGGAGGGGGTAATTATTTGGAAGAAAGTGTGAAGCAAACAACTGAAGCTAAAATAAGCATCGGTATGCATTAGTCTGTCTGAGGAGCAGCGAGTGTGCGGACGAAACCAATTTGGCTGTTGATCTGAGTACAAATTGTACTCTCTCCGTTCCTAAATTTAAGTCTTTTGACGGGGACTAAATGAGCAAAATGAATGAATCTACACTAAAATATGTCTATATATATCTGTATGTACTCCATATATAAATCTCTAGAAAGACTTATATAAGGGAGTAGTACAGTGCTGATGAAATATGTGAAACGTAAGAAATAAAAATAAATATGTGAGGTTTCCTTGTAGCCTGTAGGAAAAAGGTCTATTGTTTGGTATTCTTTTGCATAGTAATAAAGATAGAAGAAATTTGTCAGGAGTCTTTTCCTTTTCATGGAATAATTTTGGTAGAGTACGATCGTTCTCTATCGTCATTTATGTAGAGTATTTGAGCAGAATGGACCTAGGTATATGCTTCAGCTGCCGACTTGCAGTCGCCGGCTCGTGAGGTTATTTTTCAGAGCGACAGCTGTGATGGGTCCACTGCCACTGCCAGTGCCACGAGCTCCTGGACCCGAATCGGACCGGTTGCCTTGCATGCCGATCAGATCGTTGGACCATCGTGACATACGTACATTAAAACGGCATGTACCCAATAATAACGAATCAATTTGGGAACGCTGCCGATTTATTCTACATCTTCTTTTACTAGATTTTAGAGAAAAAATAGCTTACTGATTTCTACGAAGTAGAGTGGGAACAGCTGAGGTGAAGGAGTAAGCAAGTTGCTAGTACACGTCCACCGGAACCGAATCGACCAAAGGATCACATCGCATTGCACGTTAAAAAGCAATCCCATCTCATCTCCAACAACAACAACAACTCTCACAGCAATAATTCCAAATGCACGCAGCACTCAAGTCCAAGCAATACAATACATACATACAGTCGATCGAACAAATGAAAATACTGGAGAAGGGGGTTTCCAAAGGAGTCGTCAGGCGGAGACGGCCGCCGCCGACGCCTCCTTCTCATCCTTGACGACGGCGGCGGCGCGTCCGTCCTTGGCGACGGCCGCGTTGTGGCGGTAGGCGTCCTGCTTGGCGGCCTCCACCTCGAGGACCCGCTCCTCCTTCCTGGCCTCCGCCGACGCCTGCGCCGCCGGGTCGTCGTGCGCCTTGGCCTTCTCCACCGTCTCCTGCACCACGGCCATGGTCTTCTCCTTGCCCGCCCACGCCGACGCGCCCAGGTTCGCCCCCGCCTCCATGGCCGCGCCCGCCGCGCTCTCCCCGCCCTGCATCTCTCTCGATCGACCTTCGCCTAGCTCGGTGCTACAGGTTTCTTGTTGGTTCGTCGTTACTACCATGGCCGGCCGGTTCGAATTTATAGGCCCGGTTTACATTCTATGGTAGCCGTATGTGGGGCCGCCGTGTGTGTATTAGGCTGGTCACAATGGGCAAGAACATAAGCTAGTAACTTCACACTTCCCTAGACTATGTTACTACCTCCATAGTGGATAGGAACATCTATGTAGTGTCATGCAACGATGTATTTATTAGGTTATAGACTCATTGTTTCTTGAAGTGTGTGATGTTCCGGTAACTTAGCTAGTTACCACAAGCACCTTTCTCTTCATTAAATACGTGCCACATAAGCAAAGTTGTATTGGAGTGTGTGATGTTACTCCTAAGTTCCTCCCCACTGTGACCGGCCTTATCTGAATGATTTGAAGCTGGGGGCTCAGTTCATGCGTACATGAGTGTGGACCGACGGTGGACACGTGCCCTACCAGGTCGGCACGCACAGTGTCGCACTGCGGCTGCCTCGTCTGGGAGGGAAGCTGCTGTCCATGCATCCTATTCCTATGGCGTCTGGAATTAACACGAATCGATTCGCGAAAATAACAGGAACCGCTTTATGCTCTCCGCTCTCGCTGCCGCCATTATGTTTCTTTTTTCTTTTCTTTCCAATTACTGGTGTCTGTCGACATAGCAATTCGGCATAACGGAAATGTCGGGCAGAGAACATCACGTTTTCAGCTCCTCTCCCACACAAGCTACTCATCTAGCGAAAGTGCCCTTCTGCTCCCGAGCTCATTTGAGCTCGGTGAACAGTAAAATCGAAAAAAAATTCAAACAAAATTCCAATTTTTTGGGGGAGAATCACTGACAAAACTTTTAAGTGCTTGCAAAAATTCATCATGAAATCACATTCCTGTAAGGCGTGGCAAAAAAAAAAAACAAAACAAATCCAATGCTTCAAAATGCTTTTGAAAGTAGCATTTTCAGAGTATCGATTTTTTTTGCCACGACTTCTAGAAATGTGATTTCATGACGAATTTTTGCAAGCACTTAAAACTTTTGTCAATGTTTCTCCCAAAAAAAATTTGGATTTTTTTGAATTTTTTTGATTTAGTTTTGATTTTACTGTTCAACCGAGCTCATTTGAGCTCGGGTGCAGAAACTCCGCGTCCCTCGTCTAGGGTTCTCCCTCCTCCTGCCGGTGTCGTCGTCAATCTGACTCGGTGTATCCCGGCCCTTACTGGTGGGAGGGCTACTGCTTCATTTTTAGGTGTTCTTTTGAGTTTGTTTAGTGTTTGTGTCCTGCTCAGTAAGATGAGAGGGCGGCGACTCTCTGAAGTTGGGTCCGGTCTTTATTCGTCTGCGTTTGTGTGTCTTCAGGCTAAATCCTTCTGATCGACGCTTTTCTTCATCGACGGTGTTTATTGTTGTGATGTGCCGGTCCTATTGAGCCTTAGCATAATGACTTCTCAATTGTCTACTATGTCAGCGACCTGTTTGGACAGTAACACTGAAGGAGAAGAACAAGCTATTGTACCCGATGTAGCATTGTCGGTGCGGGTGGATGAGATCCGTGAAGAGCTCGCGCTCGATCTCAAGCAAATCAAGGCGAGCCTGTACAAGTAAGAGACCGCGGATCTGGGCCTCAAGGGGGACGGGAGCCTGTACAAGTTCGTCGTCACGCAACGCTGGTCACGGTCGTGGCGGTGCCGCCACCAACGCCCTTGGCTTCGACAATGAACACGAGGGGAAGGTGCATAATGTTTATTCCTCCTCCAGTCAGAGGTGCCCGTGAATCTAATTCTTCTTCGAGGAAATTTCCCCCTCGAGATTTCCATGTTCCGGATGCTTCCGAAATTTGACGACACCAATCCAAGGTTGTGGCAAAATTGAGAAGATCAGTTCCATCTCTGGGGTACTCCTATGCATAGGTGGATTTCCATGGCCACAGCTCAATTTGAAAAGGTGGCTCGAATCAGTGCCAAGACGAATGCCCAATTTCAATTGGACTGAATTGGCCGTAACCAACAACTCTTCTCAGAAAATTGTTTCGAATTGCTCCAACCAGTTCTGTGGAGGATTATGTTAAGCGGGATTGCTCCAACCAGTTCTGTGGAGGGTTATGTTGAGCGCTTTGCTGAGCTCTATGATCAACTCACTACCTCTGCATTATACCACTTGGTTTCTAGATGGACTAAAACCTTGAGTTTGTGTAGCTGTTGCCTTGCAGAAGCCCAAGGTTGCATGAGGAATTGGGAGGAGGGTGTTAATTGCTTTGTACAGAGATTGTTTTTAGTTTAGTAGAACAGTAGGAGCCTCAACCACTTGCTGAAAGTTCCTTAATTTTTTTTAGCCCTCTTTGAATGCAAAGTTTTCTTTGGAGTTCCGTGTCGCAGTTTTACGAACTTTTGTATTCCAAATACCATGGATAATCCATTTATTTCCAATATTAAAGAAAAGTAACCCCATAAAAAGAAAAGTATCCTGGATCTCTTTCTCTATAACCAACCTTTTCCCGTGCCTATTTGCTCGCGTCATGATGCGTCATTAGGCAATAAACTCTTCTTCCATGTCAATATAAGTATTTCTAGTATTCTTCCGTGTACTATAGGCACCACGTATGTACTATGTACATGTGATGTGATACAACTCTCGACCTGGGATCATTACATAGTGACCATGTTTTCCTTCTTACAAATGTGCACCTCCGAGAACTGAAGATTATGGTAGAAAATTGCGCAGATCTACTACCGTGCCATAGAAGGGGTGATGAAATGGAATTAACTTAGATTGGTACAGCAGCCTCAGGATTTACACGGTTTAGACGAACAGTGCCAAGAATGTACTCAGGCAGCTCTTTCTCTTCCTTTGCCTGCAAACACAAACATATTAGCAAGGCTCGCATTGTTGATGCAGAGAGTGACGTCTAGGCATTTCCTTTTGTCCCACAAAAGAGCAGGATCAAAGACAAGCATGACATAAACCAGCCCGGAATGACCAGATCAAAATGGAGAATAATCTTACAAACATTCTGAATTGCAGTTTCTGCAGGATTAAGTAACCACTAACGATGGGTTTGATAGAAAGAGTCGAAGGGTTGTGTAAAAGCTGTCAAGTCGTCTTGCAAAACCAGCTGGCTTCAAGGTCAGGTGTTCATCAGTTTTGCACAGGTGTTCCCTGAATCAACAGTTGCGAAGGGCATTTCCCGAGTTTTGCAAAAAAGAATGTTTGAAAAGCAATGACTTCTGTTGCCAAATTATCATGGAGATGAACAGAATACCAAATGTTAAAATGAGAAAGATAAAAATCTCATCCAGGTTAGGTTCCTTGTGGTGGAAGTGGAGCCCACCCAGGTTCAAGTACTAGACTTGGCATGGGTCCTCGCATTTTCTGGATTAATTTCAGGCATTCCGGCAATGTGCGTTTAGTGGGAAACGACGTTCCCGTCGACTATGAGGTGCCTGCGGCGACTTCATCAATCTCAAGATTTGCCGGCTCAGTCTCTCGGAGGTGCTCATAGGGGTGAGTGTACGTGCGTGTATGTGTTGTTTGTAATGTGTTTCTAAAAAAAAATCCCAGGCTTGCACAGTTTTGGATTCTGTTGGTACATTAAGGTGCTAATAAATAAGATAGCTCAAAGTGCCATAGATATTTGTGGATTATTCATTTGCTGGAATCTACCATCAACTATGTGAGCAAATTGCTGAAAACAAAAATGCGCCAAAAAAAAAGACGTTTTAAAGTCTGATTTGTATGATCATACCTCAACTAGAATAGCAAGATCTACAACGATACTTGTCACATATCCCAGGACTAGGCCAATAATGCTCCGTGCAACAGAAGAGGAACCAATGTCAACATCTATCTGCAAAGTTATTTCATTTATACCAAGATTTGTTCAGATTCAACATAACAAAAGTATAACACTGGAAAGTAGGCAAAAAACAGATATGCAAAAGAAAAATCAATACCATTGTTTCATCTAAATTTGTTATATATGTGCATTTTTTTTTGGCGGGGAACATACATGCATTCTTTTGTAAGTTGGCTTCGAATTTTACCTTTACCACCGGGCTTATTGGGATGCATGGTAGAGATACATATACCAAGGGTGTTCAACAAACGCAAAGTTTTGTAGTACTCAAGTACCTCGAGAAAGTTATCCTGTCGAAGATAATTGCATGTCACTGCTTTCCCCAGAAGGCAAGCTCTCGTCCCAACTGCACGCTTTACCATCCAATAACCCTGAGATCATTTTGTACGTGAGTTCACATGCAAAAACATGCGATTACTCAAGAAAAATAGTCACATGCAAGGTGAGAAGATAGTGAGATGCAAAAATAGTGATATGCAATTAGTCAAGAAAAATAGTAACATGCAAGGTGATAAGATACAACACTAAAGCGTATACCTCAACAATACTTGGTATAAGCTTAAATCTGGCATCTCGAAATGCATCAGTTCCATCAATGAATCTACCCAAGAGAGAATCTTTGTTCACTGGCTTCTCTGCTGCGTAGTACATAACCAAGTTATAGTTTGGTTTTGCTGGAACCTACATGTTTATCCAAATGGAGTTAATCACTTGTGCAGAACGTCATTCATACAACAAAGATGACAACATATATGAGACAATTTAGATATTGCATGAGAGAAATTGTGCGCTTCTTCGGCATTTTACCCTTTTGAATGGGGAGGCCCCAACTGTAAATCTATTTAACTATATACAAGAGGAATGTACAGAAGACGGGGCGACAGGGGAGGGCTATACAAGGGGAGGATTAGAGAAAGCCACACTAAGAGAGAGGGAGGGAAACAAGATCAAGCCAAGATCTAAGAGAAGAAGCTAAATCTTCCTTCATTCTGAAAGAAAGAAGAAGTCCCTTCTAAAACTAAACAGCCATGAAGCCCTGCTAGGAGCAATCCCATCAACAATCTTCATGACCTCAAAGGAGAAAGGCTTGTTAACTTTAAGCTTCACCCTAGATATCACCTCTTCCATACACAACAGATGGGGATCGAAATTAATTCCAAGGATATTCCAGCAGGAAGCACTGAAGCAACAGAGCTAGAAGAGGTGATTGCGAGTTGCCAGAGTATCCATGCTGCAGAGAGGACAATTAGTGCCACTAGGAGGACTGAATTGGCGTCTCAGGAGCATCTTTGGTGTGGCTATCATTCAGGAGCGGCCAGGGGACGTTACGATATGTTGAAGTTTACGGGGTACGAGGAATACAAGACTGAAATATGATCTGTACAGAGCACGGGTTGTGCATGTGGGGGAGGAAAAAATCCTAGGAATCTGATATTTATATACACGTGTATGTGCGGTATAGTATGCAGAAAACTCCTATTATAACGGGGATATCACATGGCTAATATATACGAGTATTAACATTCGACACCCTCTGGGAGCTTGTGACTGCAAAGATGGGAAGAGTGCTCATGGCAGCTTTAGTGACGGTGACCCCACCACCTGGAGTTCAATGAGATCAACGAGAGGGATGGAATCACTGGTCTTGGGTTTTAATAGACCAAAGGGAGGCTGTGGTAGTTTTGCAAACAAGAAGACTGCTAAATTGGAGGTTTTGTCATCCGTGACATTGATCGGAAGGAGGCAGGATTTATGATGATTGAGGGTGTGCACACTGGTCTGTTTGCACATTGGTCATATGAAAAATGTAAAGTATTTGGTTCATACAACAGCTAGATAAATGTAACAGCCCCTTGCCAGTAGTGTTTGATAACTTGTTGGGGTAGATCGAACCCAGGTGGGACACGACACAGACCCGCTTTCCCGGTTACTACGCAGTAACTGATATAGTTTCAGCATGTACAGCGAATGTTGTACGCAGGCGAAGGTTCCTAAATTGATGGATATAACTTTAACTTGGTTATATCTGTATCTGTATGTATGCTCGAGAAAAAATTCTTTAGCTGACCACAACTGGTTAAAGATTGCAGTAAGATCACGTGTGAACTTTTACAATAAAATCTAAAGCTGCATCAAAGAATCCACATATTTGTTTAGTTCTCAAACTATTGGCTATAATACTGTACAATTTCCCTTCAAACTACCTAAAATACAAAAAATATTCTACCCTTCAAACTACCTAAAATAGAAAACATATTCTTAAAAGGGTGCTGTACAATTTCCCTTCAAACTACCTAAAATACAAAAAAATATTCTACCCTTGAAACTACCTAAAATAGAAAACATATTCTTAAAAGGGTGCTAAGCCAGCGGCAGGGTGGTGCATAGCACCTAGGCAGCCACTGTTTAAGACAGCGAATACAAATTTAATAATATAACAAATTGACAACAGTACTTACCTGTAAATTTACAACCAGTATGAAGGGAATCTTCTTTGCAGCTTCGGACTGTAATTTAAATATCGGAAAAAAAATTAAGCATACATTAATAGGTATGTTGTGTCATGTCAGAGTAAAGCACTACAAACAACTTCCTCTTGAGTCTGCATTAATGTAATAAGGAAGCTTCCACTATAACCTATGCTAGAAAGCTGTTTGTACGAAGTTCTCTGTACTAAAAGTGGTGTTGGTTTGCAAGTGGGATTAATGCTCATTCAACAATTTTACCTGAACAAGGCTTTTTGGGTGCAAGGCAACCGAGTCAAAGCGCTCATTAACCTTGAACCAATCAACTGCAATAAGCTTTAGAAGAGGATCACCTCCAGCAATCTGTTTAAATCAAGTTAACATCAAGAGAAAGGCCAAACAAGGAGAAACAAAAACAGTGTCAGAAGTAATTCTGGCCCCAAAATGAACTCTATATTAATTGCAAGATCTCTAGCCGATTGGGGCCATTTTCTCAATTGACCTTGCTGGGATAGGTGTTTTAACACAAAGCATACCTGCTCACTATATCAGATGTACAGAAACTAGATTGGAGATGTGGAAGCACTAGCCGCATGCAGGTGCAGCAACCTTAACATAACAGCATTAATAAAACAAAGGACTACCTGTTAAGTGGTATACCCAAATGCTGGGTGAATATATATTTAACCAGTTCAACAGGAAGTTAATTAGTGACAGCTGCACAAACTTATAGGTCCTTCATAACAATAGCATTCAGGCAGCACATTTGTTAATCATAGCAACCTTATCCTGAGATCTTTGAAACGGTAGAACCATATAACGGCTCGTTCTTGTCATTGACTAGCGGAGAAGTAAATAAGGTAGTTTTAATAATTCTCTTGATTAATTAGTAGAATAACTTGTAATACTCTGACCTTGGCGTAATCTGTCAAGTAAGCCTTCCCTCTTATCATAAACTTCTCTCCACCAGGTGAACTCCAAGAATTTGGGTCATCTTCACTTTTCGCTTGTCGAACGGTGCCATGGAAATGGCTCGTGTCAATAGCTATGGGAATAGAATTTGTAACCAATTCGCTCCTCTCAAGCGAAGCTGTAGGGGAAAAAATGAACAAGAATTTCAACTTGGAGTTGAATAAGAAACAAAAAACAAATTTGAGAAGAACAGCAAAACAATGATACACCAATCCAGAACTCTGGATTCTAGTAGGAGATGATGTCCTTTTCCCCTGGAGATGGAAAATTCATCCACCAGGTTTTATTAATTTGCAAATTCTTCCTCAGCTAGTTAATAAATGAGATTGGCTGATATCATGCAATATTAGTGTAGAAATCATTATGGGGGAAGTTGATCGTTGAAATAATAATTGATAGAGGGTAGAAGTAGAAACTATCAATTCTTTTACGAAATCAGAATTATTACAAGAAATCTATGGACTAATATAGATTTTACCCATTTTGACCCTCATTTTGGGAATGACGGACATATATGTACAACTATAGTGATTCTTATCACCCTCGTATTTATTACCCTGCCAAGGAGACAAATCAAATTGAGAGGCATCTACGTGTGCACCAACTATTGTTCCCTTTGCCCTTGAAGCAACAGAAAAACAATCTCCAACGACAGAGTGCATATTTGTTGACATGTCTTAATTGAGAGGTATCTACGTAGGCAAAAGATATTTTTTCAGAGAATGCGGCAACAGGATGCCCGGATCATAAATCAACCAACATGCAACACGCAGATCATCAGTTTGGATGAATTAAGACATATCAATTGGTGACTAAAATCTTTCTTTAGTTTAGTCCACATAGCTAATCATATGCAAAATGAGTGAAATTAGCAACTTGCAGTATAGCGCTTGAAGAGGTGAAGGAGTAAATGTGTGCTACTACAATTTGAATGCCTCCTTACATCAATCAACAAGTTGAAATAAATTATGAAGTGAAGATATTAGATTTACATTTTGAAAGGATGCTACTACTGACTACGAGTGTTTGTACGGACAGGTATCAGTACAGAAACATGGAAAAACGAAATGTACTACAGAAACATGGAAAATCAAAATGTACCGAATGAGTACAAAGGTGGGTGATTAACTTTAAGAGCGCAGTGTTAGGCAGTGGTTACAGTTCCACTAGCTGTTACCATGTCAACAAAATAGGTCAAGTTACTTCCAATGTTTGCATGTGCTTACTGCCATACAAAGAGAGATGTGACTCAAGTTTTTAGCGTGTTACCAAACACGTGTGGAACGGAGGGAGTACATTACTTGGCAGCCTGTCAGGCACCATAGCAGTGCCCTACAATATGGTGCCCTACAGACAACCGTGAACCTAGAGTAAAATAGCATGTATCAGAAATACATGGTATGGTTTCATTTGATACATAGTTTCCTTGTCAATTTCTGGGTGTTGTTTCAAAAAATATTAATAAGCATCATATTTCGCAAATATAGCCAAGTATGTTCCTTAGACTATCTCCCCCGCAAAAAAATGTTCCTTAAACTATCTGAACATATTGCCTCAAATGTGCTCTATGAAAACACCATGCTTTTGTGCTTCCCCAACACACTATTTAATATATGTGCAATTGACACTTGAGGACTTGCCTATGTGTATATAAATATCTTTTTTGGCGGGCGTGTATATACATATCTCTATGGCACAAATGTATCCAGACTGGTGTTTGTCTATGTGCACACATGCATATATGTTGGTGTGCATCACTATAAGACTCAGTGGTGCTGAAAAGGTAGGAATATCTCATGTGTTTTATCATTATGACCTTTAGTTCGCTTCATAGCTAAACCTGCAATGGCCCATGATACGTTCTTCAACTTCACCTTTCCAGCCTGCATAGAAATTGCACAGAAAATTGGATCTCCATTTATGACTGAACACAACAATATGACCATTTGGATTACATAATTATGGTTTAAAACCATAAATATTACCTTCGGGGTTGTAACATCATCATCATCATTATCATCATCATCACTATCACCTTCAAAGGATTCTCCTCTAACAAGTGCATCATAGAACTCATCATTAGGTTCCGAATACTCAAGTTCACTCTGGATGATCAAGGATTCAGATACTTTTGACTTCACTACTGTTGAAGGAAAATCAGGTCTGATGGCTGGATTTGCTGCAAAGTATTCTCTTAGACCTGTTCGATCATATATGCAAACAACGTCGTCATTGCATTATCCAATTTGGCGAGATAATATTTTTGCAATAAAAGAAAGAATGATCAACCTGCTACTTGGCTGAGCAGAGCAAAAGGGATACTTCTCTCAAAATTTGAGGAGGTCCTTCTCCTCCATCTGTCCCAGAAAGATGGGGAGATCTCCACCATGCGAGTAACAATGCACTTCGGAGTAGATTCTGATGTGTTTAACCTCTTTATTTCCCATGTTGTGGCTGCAAGGACAAGGTTAAGGCACTTAATAAATTCCAACAAAATGTAAAAAAAGAAGACATTGGACAAATTTCAGTATTGCAACTATGAGAATAGTGGTTGAAGCCATTTATGAACAGCTAGGGTAAAGGCACTTTCCACCCATGTTGATTATAGCAGGTGCAATTTATTTCATCTTGACCTTCATGCTATTAAGTTCCATGCACCAACTAGCAGAACCAAAAGTCCGACTAATGGAGAAGGCTGGGCTATCCACATATACTTCAATACCCCCTCTCAAGACCAGGCCTCAAACGTGTTATCAATGAAGTCGGAAACAACTTTTGTGGATAGCACATTGGCCGGGTCTTGAACTGGAGACCTCTTGGCTCTGACACAAGCAACTATGGCCTTGCCGCTGACGATCGCCATACATGTGTCAAGTGTAATAGCTAGCTGTGCTGTGCTGACGATCAGCAACAACATAAGATCTCGCGACCAACTCATGGTTCTGGCACATGGATAGCAAACTTCCACGCACCCCTGTCCATAGCTAGTTCTTTGGTGATACTCCAATCCTTCATATCTCTCTTTACGGATTCGTCCCATGTCAAATTCGGTCTACCCCGACCTCTCTTGACATTACCCGCACACCTTAGCCGTCCGCTATGCACTGGAGCTTCTGGAGGCCTGCACTGAATATGCCTAAACCATCTCAGACGATGTTGGACAAGCTTCTCTTCAATTGGTGCTACCCCAACTCTATCTCGTATATCATCATTCCGGACTCGATCCTTCCTCGTGTGGCCACACATCCACCTCAACATGCGCATCTCCGCCACACCTAACTGTTGAACATGTCGCCTTTTAGTCGGCCAACACTCGGCGCCATACAACATTGCGGGTCGGACCGCCGTCCTATAGAACTTGGCTTTTAGATTTTATGGTACTCTCTTGTCACAGAGAATGCCAGAAGCTTGGTGCCACTTCATCCATACGGCTTTGATGCGATGGTTCACATCTTCATCAATACCTCCATCTTTCTGCAACATTGACCCCAAATATCGAAAGGTATCCTTTTGAGGCACCACCTGCCCATCAAGGCTAACCTCCTCCTCCTCGCACCTAGTAGTACTGAAACCGCACCTCATGTACTCGGTTTTAGTTCTACTAAGCCTAAAACCTTTCGATTCCAAGGTTTGTCTCCATAACTCTAACTTCCTATTGACCCCCGTCCGACTATCGTCAACTAGCACCACATCATCCGCAAAGAGCATACACCATGGGATATCTCCTTGTATATCCCTTGTGACCTCATCCATCACCAAGGCAAAAAGATAAGGGGTCAAAACTGACCCCTGATGCAGTACTATCTTAATCGGGAAGTCATCGGTGTCAACATCACTTGTTCGGACACTTGTCACAACATTATCGTACATGTCCTTGATGAGGGTAATGTACTTTGCTGGGACTTTGTATTTCTCCCAGGCCCACCACATGACATTCCGCGGTATCTTATCATAGGCCTTCTCCAAGTCAATGAACATCACATGCAAGTCCTTCTTTTGCTCCTTGTATCTCTCCATAAGTTGTCATACCAAGAAAATGGCTTCCATGGTCGACCTCCCAGGCATGAAACCAAACTGATTTTCGGTCACGCTTGTCGTTCTTCTTAAGCGGTGCTCGATGACTCTCTCCCATAGCTTCATTGTATGGCTCATCAGCTTAATTCCACGGTAATTAGTACAACTCTAAACATCCCCCTTGTTCTTGAAGATTGGTACTAATATACTCCGTCTCCATTCTTCTGGCATCTTGTTTGCCCCAAAAATTAGGTTGAAAAGCTTGGTTCCATACTATCGCTATGTCCCCGAGGCCTTTCCACACCTCAATGGGGATACCATCAGGATCCATCGCCTTGCCTCCTTTCATTCTTTTTAAAGCCTCCTTGACCTCAAACTCCTGGATTCGCCGCACAAAACGACTGCTGGTCTCATCAAAGGAGTCGTCCAGCTCAATGTTAGAATTCTCATTCTCCCCATTGAATAACTTGTCAAAGTACTCCTGCCATCTCTGCTTAATATCCTCGTCCTTCACCGGGAGTTGGTCTGCTCCGTCCTTGATGCATTTGACTTGGCCAACATCCCTCGTCTTCCTCTCTTGGATCTTGGCCATCTTATAGATGTCCCTATCACCTTCCTTCGTACCTAACCGCTAGTAGAGGTCCTCATACGCCTGACCCCTTGCTTCACTGACAGCTCGCCTTGCGGCCTTCTTCGCTATCTTGTACTTCTCTATGTTGTCTGCACTCCTATCCAGGTATAGGCGTCTGAAGCAATCTTTTTTCTCCTTAATCGCCTTCTAGACATCATCGTCCCACCACCAGGTGTCCTTAGCTTCGCTTCTCCTTCCCCTGGACACTCCAAACTCCTCTGAGGCCACCTTACAAATGCAGGTCGCCATCTTCATCCACACATTGTCTGCATCCCCTCCTTCCTCCCAAGGGCCCTCCTTAATGACCCTCTCCTTGAACGCTTAGCTACCTCTCCCTTGAGCTACCACCACTTCGTTCTAGCGAATTTGGCACGCTTATCCCGTTGGACACGAAACCGAAAGCGGAAGTCAGCAACCACCAGCTTATGCTGAGGGACAACACTCTCTCCAGGTATCACCTTACAATCTAGGCACACACGCCTATCTTCTCTTCTCGAGAGGATGAAATCAATCTGGCTAGAGTGTTGAACACTACTAAAAGTCACCAGATGTGATTCCCTCTTTTTAAAGAGGGTGTTAGCTACGATGTCGTAGGCTAAAGCAAAGCTTAAGACATCTTCTCCTTGATTCCTGGTGCCATAGCCAAGCCCCCATGCACCCCTTCAAACCTGTGTTAGATGTACCCACGTGGCCATTGAGGTCTCCTCCTATGAAGAGCTTCTCGCCAATCAGTACACTCCTAACCATGTCCTCTAGGCCTTCCCAGAACTCCATCCTGGTGTTCTCATTGTGGCCTACTTGCGGGGCATACGCGCTGATAACATTGAGAACTAAGTCCCCAACTACCAGCTTGACCAGGATAATCCGGTCCCCACGTCTCTTGACGTCTACCACTCAATACTTGAGGCTCTTGTTTATCAAGATGCCTACGCCATTTCTGTTTGCAGCCGTCCCCGTGTACCACAGCTTGAAGCCGGTGTCCTCCACCTCCTCCGCCTTCTGTCCCCTCCGTTTGGTTTCTTGGACGCAAAGGATATCAACACCTCTCCTCACCGCTGCATCAACTAGCTCTCGAAGCTTCCCTGCCAGAGACCCTACATTCCAGCCACCTAAGCGGACCCTCCTAGGCTCGGCTGCTTCCTTACCCTTCGCACTCGTCGAGTCAAATGCAAAGACCCTTGCTCATTTTCCACTACATCCGGG